AAATAATAGAAATTCTGGGGCTAAACATTACACGATCAGTTTCAAAGCAGACATAGGTTAATTAGCATAAGGTTAATCTCATTATGCCTGCGCGTTATTATAATGTGCAGCAATAGTGTCTTATGCATTTGGCTGATAACATGTAGCAGACATCGTTGCTCAGAAATAATTCTCTAATTGCCAATTTTCTAGAATCTTTGCGGTTGTCGGCTACAATACTTCGTTGAACGGAATGTGCAATTACTTCATTAGCGCTTGATTAACGAATAATTCGTATTACTCGTGAATTTTTTGCCAGAGCTTTCTAGAGATCTATCAACAATTTATGAATATTTCTACGTTTCTTCTGAACATTTAAACACGTTTTTTTATTCAATCTGGTAACATTAATTATTGTTGATACTGTAGATACATTTGAGCGCAAAAAATATTTAATTTGCCAAGAGTATTTAATTGCCAATTATTTTTTTCGATAATTAAATATAATGACCATTAACAAGAGAATGTATATAATAATAATAATAATAATAATTTGAAATATAATAAATCCTTATAAATAATTGATTTTATTTGAAAGATCCAAACAATTCTAGCACAAGGATACTAAATAATAATAATTGTGATTTATAACGTTAACAAATCGAAACTTGAAAATGAATTTATTGTGAAAAGAAATAATATAATATATTAGTTAGTTTGTCTTCATTCTGTCTTCGTAATCTTACGTTATCATGTTACAATAAGTCACTGAACTCATCTTTGAGATTATTATCATTTGTCATAATATTAAAGAAAATGAAAAATTAAACAAGATGGATATCATAAAGCAATAACCAATAAACTTCACCTAATAAGATCCTAATAAGATCCCTAAAAGTAACTTAATCATGAAGAAAAATAAAAATCCTTTCATAAAATATTCTACAATAATATAATACCAATTTCACATTAGAAAATTTTTATTGTATTTTTTTGAATATCTATTAATATATATTTCTCTTCCTATTGCATCAAATTTGTCAACGATGCATGCACCGAGGAATTTCTCCTATTTTGTTATGATGGAT